ATACAAAAAAAAATGTATTATTGAAAAGAAAATTAAAATAATTTTTAGTAGTGTGCAATTGCATTTTATATTAATTATGCAACATTTGTAATACCACAAACTTTTTGATAATGTTCTGCTTGCTGAAGACTTTCAACAAGAAATGCACCTAAATCATGTTTGGAAATAGCCCGACCGGGAGACTCATCATGTTTCACTATATATTTTGAACTTGGCACATCTGCAAACAACCAATACCTGCAATATGAGGTGGTAATATTGCAATCCATTTTAATTGACTTTCTTTAAGAAGATCAAACATACGCTGATGGTCTGCATTTAAATCTTTAAATATAGCAGGCACTGCTTCGGGTTTATAAAATAAAAATGCTGTAAAGAATACAATGTTCTTTAAAAGTATGTAAAAACTGTTAATATATATTTCAAGTAAAAGATTCAACAAAAATTTACCAGATAAACAAACAGATACTAGGTCTACGTTGTGTGCTTTCATAGCATCTATTATATTTTTCATACCCTGGGATAATATTGTAGTAGGACCTAAATGAAAATTTCAAATGAAAATTGAACTTATACTTATAATTTATATAAAATGAAATATTTACTCAAATTATTCCGTGTGCCAAGCACAACAACCACTGCATCTCTATTAGATACTGCATTTGAGACTTGTTCAGCATTGGTAACATCTCCAACAACTATCTCCACTTTATCTTTCACATTTATTGGAACTTTAGATTCATCTCTCACAAATAATCTTACATTTAAACCTAAATTTTTTAATGTAATTATTAAACGGAAAATAAAATTAATTTTATATGTAATTTGTTTTTTAACATTCCATGCTTTCAATATTTTTGGTTTCAATTTCAATTTATTTGGTTTCAATATTTTTTTGGAACCATCTATGGTTTCTAGTAACTGCTTTTAATAAAATATCCAAGTTGTTTATATTTTTGGTTAAAGCATAGTACGTACATACGTTTCATAAATATACCAAGAAGAAAATATATACAAAATTAAATTAAATTATTGTTCATGAAAACCTTAAATAATTATAGAGTTTCATCTTTATTAAGTATTAAATAATATGAACATTTTTATATGAGATATATATAAATACGATAAAGAGTAAATGACACTTTACCCTTGTTTACAGCGCTATTTACAGCACATAATCCGGTGTTTCCTGTAGCTCCAAATATCACTATTCGATTCATGGTGACACAACTACTATCGGATAGACACTGCAATTTCGCTATCTTAAGTACTTTGAAGTGCCTCTTTAATCAAAAGCGCTATGTCATGTCTATGTAGAATTTAAAATTCCAATTCCAATAGGATTTGCAAGCAAGACAATGACGTTCAATTTTGCTGATTTGTTATCTCCGTACTATTTGTGATTGAATAGAATTATAGGATAAAGTTACTAGATTGATAAACCATTAAGATTATATTAAACACTATATAACCTATCTTGCAGAAATTGAATTACAGTTTTAGTTAAAAACTATTATAAGAAGTAAAATTAATATTATATTATTAACTTCAATATTAGTTATACTTGAATAAGATACAAAGTAGTTTTGCCATATAATGTTATTTGTTTACTTCTTCATATAGAGATGAAAATTGATTTAAGTATTTAAAATTGTTTATAGGTGTAATGATTTGTAGTTCTATTTGATGATCTATGAGTGGTAATTTCAATATCTTCATTTATCTGTACTTTATTTCATTAAGTAAATTTCATAACTTAGTACATATTTAGTAATTAATTTAACAGATAAGTATATTCTATTAACAAAGCTATAATAATTGATATTAAAATTGTACAAATGTAAAAAATAATTTTAATTAAAAAAAAAAACAGTTCATCTTGTTTCTTAAATATTATATATCCATTTCTTACATTATTATTACTACAAAATTGTTTATTACATAATAAAAATGTTAATTTTCTGTTAGGTATAATGAGGTGGCGGCACAGTCAAATCTTGCAATGCAGTTAACTGCTCTTCTGTAAAATGTTGTGTATACTCCTTCATACCTCTCCATCCACCATGAGTTCTTTTAAAATCGTCGAGAGTTTTCTTAATTGTCATCTGTAATTACAAAAAATTGTATTATCTAATGAATTACGTTCACAAATTTCAAATTTATTAGATACTAACTGGTATAGGTTGAGGATCATTCATATGAGGACTAAGATATTCAAAAATTGGCGGTATAAATTTGGGTATATCATATGGATGAGCCTGTATAAATGCACACATTCCTATTATAGCTGCGTGACGAATACGTAGAGAGTCAGACTTTAAATTCCTTCTTGAATCGTCTTTATTTACATTTAAACGTTCTTTTTTATATAATTTAGATTTTATTTTCTTCTTGAATTCATCCTGAAAAATTAATAAACGTTATATACATATTCATTGTGAAGAATTGTCGTAAAAATATATCATATGTGCTTACCAATAAATATTCCTGTTTAGGTATAAACGCACAATGCAGTAATCCACTAAGGACTTTACCAGCATTTTTTCTTACTTCTACTCGCTCGTCTTCCAGTAAACGTAGAACTATATCTTTAATGCAATTAACCCATGTTGGATTACTTAAAAATATACCCATATTATAAAATACCCATGCTTGAATAAATTCTAAACAAGCAGATCTGGTCCACCATGATACATGTTTTGACATCTTTTCTACAGCCTCCAAAGCTATTAACATATCGCATGGCATTGTTAATGCTTGTGCATATATTCCTAAAGCAGCTGTGCATGTCTTTCTCAGTTCTTCATCTGTTTCACAATTTTCTAATTGATATATAATTGGAAAGATTTGATATAATTCTGGTGGTAAACCATTCGATGAATATTTAATATTTACAATCCACATGCAAACTGTCTTAAGTATTCGAATTGCCCTTTCTTTTTCTTCTTCATTTATTCTTGAATTTTTTAAATCGGCCAATTTAACAATGGCTACTTGTTCAGATAGATTTTCTACTTCCTTATTGAACTTCATTGCATTTTCATTCACAAGGGGTTCTAATTTTTGAACTATTTTATTTATAAAATCTTGTATTTGTAGTGCTGATTCATTGTTTGAAATACACGTAGACTTATAGTTTGTGTTGAACACCGTTACTAAAATAGAAGCCAATCGTTCTCTGACGTTTTCAAATGGATTTGCCAATAATCTATCTTCTATTCGTTTCAATAAACGCCGTAGTAATTCATCTACGCGCCATGGTTGCTTACAAAGAACCGCTTGTAAAATGTACAACCGTCCACATTCAATGAAAGACGATTCCGATTCACCAAAACATGTCTCTTCCATAAGACATTCTAGCAACCAATGTTGCCTATTTGGATCTCTACGTTGCTGTGCTATGGAAAAACAATGTAACCAATCCACAAGAGTCTCTGGTATAAAACTAATTAAAGCAAGCCTTATAATGGGTAATAAATGATCCCACATTTCACAAACCATGTTAAAGGGCCAATGTTTTGAACCCTTAATGATTCCAACTATAATTTCTGCTGCACATCTTTGGCTACTTTCTTGTTTACCTTCTACTAATTCACGCAAATGTGGCAAAAAATGTTTTAAAAATACAATTCCATGATTACGAAAGAGACCTTTGAAAAGAAGATATTTGTGATTACTAAATTTATCTTTGTATTTTTTCGTTTCAAGACTATAAAATTTTATAAGTTTCTGAATATTTTGTGGATCATTAAAAAATTGATCGACTTTTTTTTCATGATCTGTTAACTCTCGTACATTTGGATCTAGGCACGGTTGTTTACTTGACGGTGCATACATTTCTATTTGTTTTGGCCACGTGTAATATCCAATATATGCCTGATGAACAAATCTGGGTTCATCCCATTGTTCCGCAGTCAAAGGACGAGTCTCGTAATTATATTGAAGCCACATATTGTCTGGTCTTTGTCCTCGGTTAAACTTCGTATATTTATTTTCTTGTGATTCACCATTTTCTGGCGATGATGGTGGATCAATAGTTATCTTGGAATTCAAAAATTATTTTTCAAGTTACATAGAAGTCATTCGCAAAATAAATTTTTTCGCTGAAATACATTACCTTTAGATGTTCTCTCTTTTGCTGTTGCAACATGCATATAACTATTCGAAGAGCAATGTTTCTTTCACTTAGTGAATCGTGTATTAAAACTCCTAGGAAGTAACAAACTACTTTTGGTGGATAGATTTGTTCTGGGTGAACCAAATGGTGAATAAAGTTCATTGCCATTAAACGATGTCGCCAATGTAAATTTTTTTCCAAAAGAGCATTTAACAGATCATTTATCAAACCTTTATAAGACGTTAAATTAGATTCATTAAATGCTTGCATTATTTTTAGACCATTCGCAATTTCATCTTCCGTGGGTTGAGGTAAACTAGGCTGCGGATTAGTTGTCCATAAAGCAGTTGCAATTTTCGAGCATGTATTCGGCATTTCAAACGTAATTGGAATCGTTGAAAACTGACCGCCTATAAGTTTTACTATATTTTCCTTCAAACGGATTATAGACAATTTTTCAGACGGCTTAGAAAGTACCAAAGTTGACCATAAATCTCTTAACATATTCCAATCTTGTTTCATACAAATAGGATTTTCTTGTGTAGCAAGCAAGATATGCAAAGCACCCTACATAAGAAAAAATAAAAAAATAACGATAACTTTTATAAAAAGTCACTTATCATTGTTGTCCTTACCTTATACGCGTCGTGATCTACTTCCGGATCTTCCTTCAGTATGTGAAGTAATTTTGGAACAATAATTTTCCACGAGAACG